GTGAGAAAAAGCTGTATCACAAAATCAGAATTTGTTATTTTGTTTATTTTTTCATCAGCTTTGGGTTGAACCTACATGGCTAGAATATACAGGGTGTTTCAGTTTATTGTTGCATAACTTTAAGATTCGATAGAAGTTTTAAAATTAATGCATAAAGTCTATATAAACATGGGTCGAAAAATGCGTGGCTTCCGAAATACAGGGTGTTTAAATTTACTTTCTAAAATATACTAAGTTACATATAAATCCGAACACCCAGTTTAAATGGTTTTATCTTAATAAAATTTTGTATAAGAACTTAATGAAGCATAATAAGTAAATGATAAAAATTTCAAAATGATTGCACTGCTTTAAAGCCCTTTGACCTTTAATAATGTGTGGATGCACCCTGATGTGCTACGCATTCTCCAACACGCCTAGGCATGCTTCTGATCAGGTGGTCAATGTCCTCCTGTGGTATCTCAATCTAGGCAACCACCAACTCCTCTCGAAGTGCTTCTAGAGTCTGAGGAGGACGTTGCAAATTGAGCAATCTCCTACGCATCATATCCCACACGTGCTCAATTGGGGATAAGTCGGGAGATCTTGGTGGCCATGGTAACAATGTGACATCATTATGTTGAAAGAAGTCTATTGTGACTCTTGCAATATGTGGTCGGGCATTATTTTGTTGGAAAGTTGGATCTGCCAGGGTGTCAAGATAGGGTAAAAGATGGGGTTCTAGAACTTCGTGGATATAACGCTGCGCGTTCATGTTACCTCTGATGAAGATTAAAGGTGACCTGGAACCATAAGCTATAGCAACCCAAACCATAACTCCAACAGTGTGATGAACATGTCTTTCAACAAAAAACTGTGGATTCCTCCTTTCACCACGTCGCCTTCTAACCCTGGGACGACCATCGTGCATGCCTAAACAGTATCAAGACTCGTCACTTAAGACAATACTGTTCCATTCCTGATCCCAGAGTGACCGTTGTCTGCACCACTCAAGGCGATTACGTCGGTGTTCTCGAGTTAAAGGGAGGACCCAGTGTGGCCGGTATGAAAAAAGCCAAAACTTCTCGTTCGTCGGTAAACACTTCGCATGCCAATAGGTCTTCCGTGTTCTGCAAACCATTTATTTGCAATGTACCTGGTAGTGGAGAAACGGTCCCTTAAGGCCAATAATCTTAGGCGGCGATCTTCACGGTCTGTTGTTCTACGGCGGCGCCCAGTGCCCCTTGCTCTTGGCGTACGGCCTTCTCGAAGCCATGTTTGACAACACCTAACCACAGTGTCTACACTTCTTTGCACTCTAACTGCAATTGCCCGAAAAGAAAGTCCAGCTTCCCGAAGTCCCACTATACGGCCCCTATCAAACTCACTAAGTTGACGAAATCGTACAGGTCTCCGTACTCTAGGCATCGTAACCGATCGTAAAGGATGTCAAGAACCAAAATCCGCCAACGTTGATTTTTTACTGCGGCTGAAATATTCATTTTTAGAGCGTTAGTGAATTAAAAAAAAGCAGTATAAAAACCGGAATGTCCAACTGCTAAGGCTGAAAATTTTTTCACTTATTACAGTAAGATAAACACATTCACCGACTTTTATTAAAATAAAACCATTTAAACTGGGTGTTCGGATTTATATGTCACTTAGTATACATATAATAGATACAAAATTATTTGGCATAATTCGCTTAGTTCTTCTTGGACCATCAGCGCTAGAAGCGTGAGCCCAAAGCGACCAGTCTTCTCCGGGCTTATAGTAGATCTCGAATAAAGGTCGTTACAGTAAATGCAAACACAGTCCTCTTCATCGTAATGAGAAATATTAGGAAAATCGTCTTCCTCATCATTTTCTTCAAATAATTTTTTGGTGGCTTTGCGTCTTTTCTTTGTTGACATAGGAGAACAAGTCAACACCAACGACCTCTGTCGAATTTTTGTTTACGTTTCCATTGGCCTCTTATAAAATGTCCTTTTGGTTTGGGGGAAAGCACCTCAATAGGAACAGCAAGAGCAGAAGACCACGTATGTTAATTGGTAGCGCAGCAGTTAAAACAACTTTTAGACCAAAGTTTGTTATTGGAACCTAAGATGAATTTTCAGCCTGAGGGTCGGTAAGTGCTGTTATTTAGGCTGCATTATTTTCTTCAGATCATGGGACCATGGCTGAACGAGAGGTAATGCAGCAGCCACAGCGACCAGAGACGTATTTGTCACCGGAACTGAATCTCTATTCGTCATTGTCTGTCAGAGCGGTCCGTAGGACCTTTGCTCTTGGTTGAAGTCTTGTAAGTCAGTAGGTCTGTCAGGTCTGGTTGCCCAGATACCAAACAAAGTCAGCGAGAAAGAAGGGAAGAAGAAAGGAAAGAAGGAAGGAGGGAGAGCAAAGAAAAAAGAAGTGCATTAATTTGAGGGGTGCCTTGACATTGCTGGTTAGTACTCGGCAATTTTAAATTGATCCTAAAATTAATTTTGGAATTGGTTGTTGAAGAAAAATTATAATTTTGGTTGGACCTAATGTCGCACGATTTAATTTTGTTCACAGTGCAAGACGCGGTCTTGTGTGCTTGCGAACTTGCTCAACTGTGTAGTCTACTGACTCGCGCAACAAAGGATTGTTATGCGATTCTGATTGACTGTAACGTACCTGCGCTTGTTGTTTGATGTAGTCCCTTAGGTAAGGGATGTCAAGGTCTCTGTGAAGGGTCTCGTTGGAAACATACCATGGGGCGTTAGTGATTGTACGCAAGGTTCTGTTCTGCAAAACCTGCAGACTACGCAAATGCGTTTTGGCGAGAAAACACCAAGCCGCACTTGCGTAAGTGATCGCTGGTCTAATAACCATCTTGTATAGCCGAACTTTGATGATCAAACTTAATTTTGATGTTCTACATAGCATAAGGTAGAGTTGCCGAAACGAGATTTGGAATTTAGTTTTTAACACTTCAGTGTGCTTCTGCCAGGTTATCCCCTTGTCAAGAGTGACACCGAGATACTAAGCAGAGCTTTCCCATGGTACCCGAGCTCCATTCGCTGAAACCTCAGACGGGGCGCCGCTACGTTTTTTAGTACAGTAGATTGCCTGCGTTTTCGAATGATTAATTTTGATCAGCCACCGGTTCGCCCATACCAATACCGCGTCCAGAGCACGACTGGGCCACCAGGGCAATTTTGATCCGAAATTTCCTACCCTCAAGAAAGGATTTCAAAAGTTTTAGGAGCCAGAAGGCGAAGCCCTTATGGATCAATTTGTAGAGAAGGCCCTTGTGCCACACCTTGTCAAATGCCTTTGAGACATCCAGAAGCAAGATGCCAGTACTTTCGTTACGGGTGAACCCCCTGGTTACTCGTTCAACAAGCCTTATGGCCTGTAGCTCCGTACTATGCTCAGACCTAAAGCCAAATTGCACGTCAGGAATCACATTGTGGTCTACCCAGAAATTTTCAAGGTGACGTAGAATCACCTTTTCACCTTAGAAGGAGCTGACAGTAGACTAATGGGGCGGTAATCCTGGGGAATATCGAATCCACCTTCTTTGGAATCATTATGACATCAGCGGTCTTCCACGCCGTTGGGAAGTGCTGGGTCCTTAGCATGGCATTGATTATTGCCACGAGATAAGTTAAGGACTTCGCGAAAGTAGCTTCAGCGCCTTATTAGTGATTCGATCCTCTCCAGGTTCTGTACGAACCTTGAGGTCTTTAATATGACCTTGGAGCTCTGCTGGTGTGCAATGCGGAGTCTCAGGAGATTCCGCTGATGTGCCGTGCAGCTCTTCAATTGAGGAATCTTCTGAAGATTCCTCTGAGAAAAAATCACTAAGGGAGGCAGTACTGCCACTGACGCCGTTGGCCCTAAAATATCTCCTGACGGGTCTTACAATATGTTGCTCCTCGTCAAGATCATTATGAAGGTCATAGTTGGGAGAGAACTGACTTTCCATTACATCAGCGAAAACCTCGACCTTTTCCTCTGTCCTACAGACTATGCCCCTAGGACCGTGGATGTGCGGGAGTTGTTCTCGCTTTCCATTTCTGAGCGACTTTGCGACTTTCCAGAGAGGAATGCTTGAGTCAAGCATCCCCGACAGAAAGTCGCTCCAACGCTTATTACGGAACTCATGAAGAGCATTTCTCACTTCATGAACAAGATTCGTTGCTCTGTGAATGTTATCTGGGTGACAAGACCTCTTCGCTTGCTTAATTGCAGCTCTTTTGTCAGAAATTTTCTGACGAATGTCGGCAGGGAGTCGGAACTGAATCATCTGCTTGTTGTGAAGGTTGTGTCAAAACCTGTTCAGGCTTGACAGAGCTCATTGCTGTTGAAGGCTGAGGAGGTTGTTCATTGGAGTAGTCTTGTCTTCCAGCGGTATGTTTGTGGTTTCAGTGGGCTCGTACATATAATCCGGAAATATATCAAGGTTTAGTGGCCAGATGCCAGTGCTTTTACATATATGTAGTAGGTCTTCAAAGGCCCAAAAAAGGAGACGTCAAGAGATTGCATGCGATGAGTGCAATGTGGAGTCAGACAAATAACATGAAACCATTTTCTTTTGCATATCCCAAAGTTTCAATGCCTTTATCGACAATTAGAATAACGTTATCGCCAATGCTTGCTTTTACAAAGCTTTATCCATTTCATAAATATTCCGGTGGTCATCCAGCCTTATTGTTGAGCTATACCTAAAGTGCCATAAGTTCGTTTTGCATATTTTTTCTAGGAAATATCATCATCGGCGGGATGAAAGTTCCAACAGCATTAACACAACAAACAACAGTGGCGTTTGCTCCACGCTCCACAGTAGTTGTAACTCCAACTTGTTTCCTTCCCGTGGTTGCTAAAATCTTTTCAGGTTTATAGCCAACAGATTCTAGCAAGGTACAGGTGAAAAAAATTTTGGACTTGTGACCGATTAAAAGCTTGAGCGCGAGCTGCTGAAGAGGCTTGTGGTTTGCGCAAAGATATATCTTTATTGCGTCTTAGAAATCCATCCAACCAGCCTTGTTCTGTCTTTTGCTTTTGGATATTAAATTTATGAGCGAAACCGTTTTTCTCAGCCATCTGAAAAGCTAATTCTTCTACCGATGCTAGTGTCAATCCGAACAAACGACTTTCAAGGAATTTTATATGCTCAACTAATTGCTTTTCTACATTAGCTGGAAAGGTAGCTTTGCAACAACTAAGGCCTTTTGACTTTGACTCCAAAGTTTTATTAGTGCCTAAAACATGCCTGCGAAGAGTAGCTTGAGGAACACCAAATGTTTTTGAAGCCAATAACTAGCCCATTTTCTTATCTCGAATGGCCTCGATGGCTTTTTTCATTGACTCCGTACTCCAAGATTGCCCATCAGTCGTTCGTTTATAATCGCGTGGCATTTTGGCATCTAAAAAAAATACATACCTACATATAACACAAAAGCTATGGACAAAATGACATACGTATGCCACTTTGTCCGTTACATATGTATGTCGTTGTTAATAAATATACAAAGAGCTCTTTTTCTAAGTAAAAGTTATTTAATTTAAAGATAAGTATTTGATGAATGAAACAAATGCTACATAAATAGATACAATAGCAAAAAACTTACCATTTGAGCAGAACTTCGGTATGAAAAAACTCGTAACGTGAAAATTTGACAGATTATAGAGTGCCATTATGGTCGCGTGGTGTCACTGCCAGTTTCGTGTTAAAGTCCGCTAAATTCAAAATATCCCGCCTGTGTCATTTTGTACGTATTTCCCATCGAAGTAGCCAAAGTAGCGTCACAAAAATTATTGCCAGCTAAATCGTTTATATAATATCCGGGAAAAAGTAATTTCATAAAAAGAGACATTTTGTTACCTGTCAACAGAGATAAAATGGCAAAATTTTTCCCGTCACAGAAAAAAATATTTACTTTCGTTTTACAACCCAACACAGTATTTGTGCCTTGCTCTACAGATATCCTTTCCAGAGAAGAGAATGTACGCAGATGTATTGGTTTGTAACTTTGGTAGGCAATGCTAGGCAAAATCAACCAAAAGTATGCATTAAAACTACACAATTTTGGCGACAAACAATGCAATTAAAATTCGAATTCATTTACTCTAATAGATAGCTGCTATACACTCTCGCAGACAATTTTCGAAATAGAATGCACTTCGCTCTCTCTTATTTCAACTTTGTGACTCTTTCAGTATACCGCCTTTCCTCAAAACGTCTTATGAATACTGATTTTGTGAAACCTTCGGTTTTTTTTGGGCGAGGACTAATTGTATCGCCAAAGGTATATTTTTTAACCGAATGTACTGAATTGATTTGCTTCACTGTAAATGACCATTCGAGATTGTAAAAATGCCACTGTTCAAAAGAACCTATCAGTTTTTAGTTTATCATTCATTGTTCTATGCGGTTGCCAGAAATGATAATATTAAGGTTACTATGCTTACCTGTTCTAACTGTTTTTTGGACTTTTTGCGATTGACCTGCTTTAGTCGATCTTGTAGATAGCGGGGTTAACAACATTTTGACTAGTTTATAGAGCCCAAGCACCACTCCTGTAAAAATTTCAATATCAATGAATATAATAATATAGGTACCTATATATTTATATACTTATGACAGAAGTAAAAAAAACTAATGAGTTAAAGAGCTGCGCCAGATTTTTCAAGAGTCGTACATTCAAGAATATCAAGCTACGTACTCACGAAGCTTGGCGCGCTAACGTGATCCTCGCATTCGTGAAATTGCCTCTGTCTGAACGTGGTAACGTGAGTTTGCTTCCGAAGTCATCTTATAAGAGGAAAGCTTACGCTTGATATCAAACACGTTTGACGAGGCAGATCAAAATCTTCAGGGCTCTATTTTTTCAGTTCAGCGTCTACCATATTCTATTTACCGAATTTATTTTCGTTAGTATCCACTTTCTGACCCAACGAAGCTTTTTCTTACATTTTTTTTCTATTCATGTGACTCTATCAGCCTCTTCGCTAACATAAACCACTGACATCTGAACTCAAACCTGTACAACTTCCAGCCAGAAGCTACTTCATGGTCGGGTTCGAGGAATAAACTGGATCGTAATCGTGTGAACCACCCACGACCCTTGAATGTTTTACTTTCCACTGTCCATTCAAGGCAAGAGTCACGAAAGAGAGATCGAAAGCCAAGGGCGAACCCAGTTTAAAACGGAAGGGGGGCGGGATACATTCAAAAAAATGTTTGGTAGAAGTTCCACAAATCATGTTTACATAACCGTGCTTGATATTTTTCTATTTGCATTTCTTTTATATAGAGTCTACAACGACGATTTGACAAATCATATGGACATGGAAAACTAGGATTACTTTTTCTAAATATTCAAGCAAGTCAAATGTGAACTCTGTTGTAAAAGAAATTGTATAGAAGGATTTACATATGCCTTAGAGTGAATGCAAAGGTCCCCATCTCGAAATAAAAAATCTGGGTAACTCATTTTTTAAACTTCAAAGTTTTCACCTTCAAAATGGGTATGTCCAGTTTTTTTGCAACAGTTAATTGGTTATTGCAAAAATCGTTCATTTTTTACCGAAAAGTGCATAAGAGTAAATATGGAATAGAAGATACAGCATTTGTAGTGATTAACGGGGCTCCTACAATCACGAGCACCATCTGCTGAGGTAACGGGGGGGTGAAAAGGACTGGTCTTAGACGGTGGTCGGCGCTACTTTAAAAGAGGAAAGGATGACTGCGGGTGCCTACCGAGGTAAATTTTTATAATAACATAGTCGGATTTCGATTAGCGATTTAGTCTGTAAATCGTTTCCTTTTTTGGTACTCAGCTAGTGATCATTTAGTATTGTTCTACCCTTGTTACTGTTCGTCGATATTGTGTTGTTGAATTGTTGTGACGTGCTCTTGTTGGTGTGATTGTTCTTGAGTGAATTTTTTATCAAGGTTGATAATGGACAATAAAAGGTCATATGCGACAATTTTAATTACGAATTCAGTGTGAGTTTAATTCATGATGAGGACAACAATAGTGTGGAGCAGTTCAACTCTATAATCGCAAAATACTTTGGGGTAAGCGAATAAATTATTGCAAGAAGAGGTCATACCATGGAAGATGTGCTGCAGCTGTAATGAGCCACAATACCGAGCGTCATGTCTATGTGGTCCATATACATTTGCGTTCTAAGCTTAGTCCAACCTCGCTTATCACTAAGATGGAGCAAAGACTCAAACGCAAGAATCTTGAAAAGAAACTCCAACCAAAAAAAGTTGATATAAAAATAACTAACAATTCGGATAGCAATTCCAAAGAAAATATATAATAGTTTTATGGCGAATTCTGTCAAAAACCTGACATGAACGACATTAATTTGGAGGTTGCTAAGCAAGAATTTTTAGGGAAACTTAGAAAAAGTGACGACGAGATTTTGCATATCGAACAAGTCACCAAATCACAGGACTGTGCTTTGTGGCGTCTTTATCGGAGGATAAGGTTGACAGCGTCTCGATTTGGTGAAGTTTGTAGAAGGAGGCAGACAACAAGCTGTAAAGTTCTAGTAAACTCGATCATATACCCAACAGAGTTTTCTAGTAAGGCAATAAAAACAGGCAATACCAAAATCATTGGACACGGCAGTTCAATCTTGTGGTTTGTTTATTGATCGCACACATCCACTTCTGGCAGAATCACCTCCATCTACCTATTACAGTAGACAAGACATGTACTTAATCCAGGTATAAGCCTACCTGTTGATTGCTTTGCAAAAACTACCTAACTGTTTCCTCTTATTTTGAGGGTATAAGATATTTTTATGACCCTCGTTCAATTGTTACCATCTACCGCACGACCCTTGTAAACATAATTGTGTTTATTGACATAAATAAACGAATTAGAATTTGATTTCTTGAATTTATTTTAGGATAGATATAAAATTATTTGAATACATTTTTCTTAGTCGGAACGCACCGTCGCGTCGCCGTCGCTTGGACTGGCAGGACGAAACAGTAGATGAATTTCGCCCAAAAACCGATTTGCACTTCACAGCTTACTTTTAATTATTTCCAAATGAAACTCTTGCAGCGTGCTAAAAACAAGTTAAACAGGGTGCCAGCGATCCACTTTTTCGACTTTATCCACTAGGATCTTTTTAAAATATCAAGAAGTTGAGCACAAATAGTGAGCATTTCATAATTCTTGCGCAAAGACAAAATTTTGTAAAAAGCTCTGATAGCACCCTAGGCAATTATGGCCTGCTTATATCCAGAAAAATATTACAAACTGCAGGATACAAAAGGTAACGGCGAAATGGGTACATTTCACGGGTTATGAAATTCAAATGAAAATGCAGGTATAAAATTTGCCAAATGATCGTTCTCAAAAACATATTTCCTTGACATATCGATAATTTTAAAGTTCCACGCTAAATTCCCCTATACTCGACTGGAGTGATATCCGAATTTATTCTTCCCTACTGTCGGTAGTTGCAGATCTGTTGGCTGTTGGTGTCAGACCTATAGAGCAGGTACCGATTTTTTGAAATCGTGAGCACATTATTCGTCGGATTTTTGATACTTAAATTTCCTGTAATCACTGGGATCAGAAGCTACTTAGTAATAGAACGTGTTTCACTGATTTCAACCCCCTCTTTTTAAGCAGTACAATTTTTTATGTCAATGATTAGGAACCCCTGAAACAGCAAAAACGGAGTTTCAGCAATTGTTACTTTTTCTTTTTTGCCTATAGCACCATTGCCACTGGATTAAAACTACAAAGCTTCGGCATACTAGTAACCGCGTGTGGAATTTTCATAAAAATCCGAGCGGTAATTTCCAAGTTTTTTTCTTGATGTAGATGTCATATGACTTATGAGTACCTATTTGCAGAAGGACTTATCTACGCGATATTATATGAAATAGGGCCTCCAAATTATCTGAATACATCCTTTCTTAGTCCGTACATTGCGCCGCAACGCTTGGTTTGGCAGCACGAAACAGTGGACAAAATTCGTCCAAAATATGATTTGTAGAGGTTTGCGCGCTTCAAAATTGACGCATTATTTATTGATATTTTTGGATGAAATTTTCACAGAGTGCTGAAAACAAAACACCACAGGGTGCTATAGAGCCACTTTTTCATTTTTTTCACTAGGTTCTTTTTAAGAAAATCGCGAAGTTTAACAGAAAAAGTGCGCACTTCAACCCATCATAAAACTTGTGCAAAAACAAAATTTCAAAAAGTGTTCCTATAGCACCCTGGGTAATTATCTTCTCAACATACTGTATGAATTTCATTCAAAAGTATTGAAAAATGGAGTGTCAGGTTTGAAGCAGCTGAACCCTTGTCAATGGCTTGAAACTCACTGCGTCGGAGCCGCCTTAACATCGGCAGAAATCTTCAAAAATGTTCAAGCTATTCAGCGACGATACTACTGCAACAAATTAGTCGTACAAGGTGATAATTAATAATTTAATAATTGGACAATATCCCCATTTCTATAAAAAAATAATTAAAATAGTTCATTACAAAAATGGTGCTTATTACTTGAAATATACTGGTAAAGGGTGATTCATACCGACACCAGAAACGATTATTTCAAATTTAGTATATTTTAATATGCCACTTCAAAGGGAGAAGTTTTGATATAGCCGGGGCAACAGCATATTACTCCTATACTAATTCTGGAAATAATTTTCTTTGTCGACATTTAATCGTTGTTTTTCTACAAGTACATAAAATTACGTCATATAGGCAAAAATAGTTTTATAGAATTATATAAAAGGATATATGCCTAGTTTATTCTATAATGATTTTAAAAACGAATTTGTCATATTTTCACCATTGTGATCTCCGAAACGGGAAGAGATACGGGTCAGTTGAATGGAGGAAAAGATGCGTATTTATATATTTTAGAAAATGCATTTGAAAAGTTCTGACGCTTCCAGTATCTCCAGAAGGAGATGAGGGAACGAACCGTTTCTAATTTTTTCTGAATTTATTTGAGATAGGATTTCAAGACTGCACATTGACATTGCCCCTTTAGATCTCTGCAAGTTGGCATAAAAATAATGGGTGATTTTTTTGCTAGTATCTTTTTGGCAACACTGTTTTTGACAGATGACGCATGAATCGTGTCTTGTGTCATTGTCAAACTTGTTCAGTTTGGTCTATAATTTAATCATGAATCGACTTACGAACGAACAACGCTTGCAAATTATTGCATTTTACTATCAAAATTCATGCTCGGTTAAGAGAGTGCATCGAGCACTGCTTCCAATTTATGCGCAATTTGGTCGGCCTACTGAGGGAGCTATTCAGAAGCTTGTGACTAAATTTCGAACCCAGTTTACATTATTGGACATTAAACCACCAACGCGCAGACGTAGAGTGAGGACTGAAGAAAATATTGCGGCTGTATCCGCCAGTGTTAGTGATGACCGTGAAATGTCGATTCGCCGCCGTTCGCAGCAATTGGGCCTCTGTTACTCCACTACGTGGAAAATTTTGCGACAGGATTTGGGTGTAAAACCTCATAAGATACAGCTGGTGCAAGAATTGAAGCCACACGACCTCCCACAACGTTTCCCATTTGGTGAATGGGCGCTGGCAAAGTTGGAGGAAGATCCACATTTTTATCGAAAAATTGTGTTCAGCGACGAAGCTCATTTCTGGTTGAATGGGTACGTTAACAAGCAAAATTGCCGCATCTGGAGTGAAGACCAGCCAGAAGCATTGCAAGAGCTACCAATGCATCCCGAAAAAACCACTGTTTGGTGTGGATTATGGGTCGGTGGCATCATCGGGCCGTACTCTTCAAAGACGACAATGGCCGGAACGTAACTGTGAATGGCGAGCGCTACCGTGCGATGATAACAAACTTTTTTTTGCCCAAAATGGAAGAGCTGGACTTGGCTGACATGTGGTTTCAACAAGACGGTGCCATATGCCACACCGCACACGAAACAATGGCCCTATTGAGAGGCGAGTTCGGTGAACAGTTTATCTCACGTTTGGGGCCCGTCAATTGGCCGCCTAGATCGTGTGATTTAACGCCGTTGGACTATTGTCTTGTGGGGCCATGTTAAGGCTAATGTAAATAAAGGGATAAGCCAGCAACGATTGACGCACTGGAAGCCAATATTGAAGCATTTATTCGTGAGATACCGGCCGATATGTTGGAGAGAGTGTGCCAAAATTGGACCTTGCGCATGGGCCATCTAAAGCGGAGCCGCGGCCAACATTTACATGAAATAATCTTTAAACATTAAATTATATCGACCGTTCTATCGACTCAAATAAAGATTTAATCGTTTTTTCAAATTTTTATTTTTTTTAAATCAAATCCTATACCTCTTAAAAAATCACCCGTTATAACATTAATATGATTTGACGTCTCTTATCCCCCGTCTCAACTTTGATTTTCCTTATGTATGCCATTTTTGCATAGGCGAATAGCTTTTAATTTCTTGAGTAAACCTTGAAATTATCCTATAGTTATTTAATTCGTATAATATCAAAGATATAGTTGGTTTAAACTCATTAAAAGAGGAATGCTTTATTGTCTTCGGATCATAGAAATGACATAAGACTCGTCAGGCATATCTCTATGAGTACATTATTATCTACAAAAATTAAAAATATAGTTAAGTATAAATACATAAATTTGTCGGTTAAAAATGGAAAAGAAACACAGTTTAGTCGAAAAAGGGCAAAGGACGCATGTGCGCACGAATGAAAACATACACTAAACAAACAGATACAATAATAAACAGAACAAGGTGTAAAAGAAGTAAGTACAATAAAAATAGAAAAAAAATAAAAGGTACGCATATACGAGTAAATATATACAAACATATTATTTAAGGGTAATCATGAAGCATTGAAAACAGTATAATTTTAAGAAACGTCAGATCGAAATTCAAATCTGGTAATCGCGATGGCGATGCAACATCACGAGACCAATCAGGCCATTTTTTCATTAGATAGAAATACACACTTTTTTCTGCATATTCAATTTCATCTTACCTTTGTGGCCAGGGACAAATTCCATAGCATTTCCGAAAAAGACGTGTGGCTTTGGTCCAGGAATATTATGAAGGTACTTATTAAAATATTTCTTATCAGTATACTTTTTGATGAGATATAAAACGTACACTATTATAATAGAGTAAAGTAGTGATAAAAATAGTGCGAATATGACTCCCATTGCGCAAGGATCAGAACTAATCTGACATGCAAAAATGTTTCTTCAAGAAGTGTGCATTTTTTTAGTTGGCATGTAAATTGCCTTTATTCATAATAGTAAATGGTGATTTAGATTTCATCACCTTTTTTTAAACACTTTTCAGATAACTTGTCGCTAATATGGACCGAACAGCACTGCTTATTTAAGTGCACATATTGGGTGACATAGGAATTAGAACACGCTTTAGCTGTTAGACTGTAAGAAATCAACTAAAGGTTTTGCGGCAATGAGGTATTCCCTATTTCACGAGTATCCATCACGCTTTGACATCTACTGAGGTGAACAGCTGATCAGCAAGTGAAATTTTTGTGTGAGTCTGCAAGGTTAGCAATAATGAATCGGGGGTAAATCTAGTAAAACTTGTTTGTAGCGTTTTGTTTTTTGTACGCAAACGAACTTTTATAAATAAAAGAGCTTTTAGCTAGTACAAAATGAATCTGTAGCGTACAAACCAAAATAAAATATGGTTCTGTCTACCTGGCATTGACGGATCCGTCAGAATTGTCATTAGCCGATATGGGGAATTTTGAAATATTATTAGATAATCAGCTATGATTCTACCGTAATGGATACTCGTGAAAAAAGCTTTACCTAAGCCACATTCAAATAAAAACCCACATTTCTATCTAGAAGCACCCGTCATATTTATTTATGGCCCGAGCTCATTTTTTGGACAATTCGCTGATTTCTAAATGGCATTTTTGAACAACCACGATATCCCATACATTTTTACGCCAAGAAAGCTATAAGCCACTTAAATTCCAAGATTGGCGCCAAACGAGAATTAGTCGAGGGCGAAAACAAAGGATCTTTCAATGATGGAGAGAACAAAGATGTTTCTAGATTTAGTCCAGATGACAGTGTGAAGGGCAGATACTATCGTCCGAATTAAAGCAGTTCTGAGAGTGATTCTGAGCGAGTATCTCAGGTGATTAAATAAATTTGTGGCTTATGATTTCATTGCTTTTACAGAAGTAGCTTAATTCTTTTGTTATAGGAAAACTATTTTTGTAATAGTTTCACAATATCACTAGAAAATGATTTCAAACGATCTATTTATCAGACTATGACATTATCCTTTCTGAGAATGACTCTGGTAGACCGCAAATAATTTTGATACGTGTCACTAATATGTAATTTTGCAGTGAGCGGCTTATGCTCTTCTCGAATAAATAAATTTATCTGTGTGGCTTGTGACCTTCTTCAAGAAATTCATATTGTTTTCTAAATAGAGAACGCATCTGACACAGAGCTAATGGAAAAACAGAACATGTACGCATTTGGCTCCATATACAATCCATTTTAATGAACTGTGAGGTTTCAAGTCTAGCAACGAACACCAAAATCATATATTTATAAGAAAACACTTTCAAGTCTTCCCCCTGGAATTACAATTTTTTTCAATAAGCCACAGTATTTTTAAAAATGAATTTGATGGGTTAAGCATTGCGGTGAAGGGTTGTGACTAATTTTTTCTCAGAGAGCCTAACTTTATCATACTGCTCTCATCCGTCCGATCAAAGACAGCCAATGATGGACAGATGTTTCATGCTTTTTTTGTTAGCTCATCAGCATAGTATAGTCTCCAGGACAACAAACGAAAGCATAGCAACTATCCCCATTCCAGGATATGAGGACTATAGCGCTAGCTTATTTTGAAGGAGACTAACGTGTGCTGCTGAACTGGGAAGTGCAGATTCAACCTACTTGATGACATTTTCTTTATTTATGATACAAAATCTGATACAAAAAATATTTCACTACAAATTTGTTCACCATTCTCTCTTAAATAGTCTTATATACATTCCGTTTGCAGATTTTAAGACAGTTTCTGCTGCTAGAATTACTTCATGCGCTGGCTCAGTTGGCATTAGCCTGAAATTTCTTAACATTTTTGACAAACAGCTTTTCATTTCAAGCATTGCAAATCTCTGACCTGAAATTTAAGGAAAATTCAACATATTGTATTATTATATATATGTATATCATTATATTATAGTAGTTCCTACCCCACATACGATTAAGTAAAGGGTTTTCCATTAAGGACTTGACAACTTACTTTTTAAATAAAACGCAAACCATTTGAGATATCTCGAAAATTTTATTATTGGATTGAAGTATACTCAAAACATTTATATAGGGAATTCGACCGCAGCGATCGATTCGTTGAACCCAATTTTCAATTACTCGGCCACACATTTCGACAGAAACGGTCGCTATATCTCGTTCATTATTGGCTCTGAGCTTCTCTAACGACGCAGGCTTGTTGGCAAAGAGCCCCACAAAAAAGTCTAGAGGTGATCAGTCACACGATCTAGGCGGCCCTTTGTCAGGACCATTTCACAGAATTTTTATTTCAAGATGTCGATTGTTTCACCCGCTGTGTGGTTTGTGGCACCGTCTTGTTAAAACCACATATATTTAATGTTTAGCCCATTGATTCTCAAAGTGGTCTATATCGACCCCTAGGGGTCTATGACAACCTGCAAGGGGTCTACGACAGCGAAAAAAAATTTGGGGTCCATGAAATGAATATGGGGGTCCATGATAGTGGATCTCAACACATACACTGATAGTACCTATTTACTTACATCATACTATCTTATAATATCAAAACATATACATTATTTATAAAAGTACCTATGAAGTAAAAAATTTATTATATATGTTTATAAAATTGTGTAAGTTGTAGGATGTTGGTATTCGCTTTGTGGTCGCAATACATTTTGAACTTGTAAAAACCTGAGAGTCGCAGTCTCAGAGCTTCGCTACCTTGCACTGACTTGGTCAATTCGTCACTCTATAAATACGAATGTGGGACAAATACGTTTATTCGTTTCCTGAATCTTGAAAAGGAAAGTGCTAAGAATATATTTTAAAAAATATAAACAGATAGTATATCACACAAATTATAGTGAGTCAGTGTTATTTTGTTTGAGAGTGCTAGAGTTAGCAAAGATAGATAAATTACGCCAATCATGACTTTAGTTATTAGTAGTTAAATATTCAATCATGCAAAATTACACGAGTACTCCTCAATAGTTTCTTTTTGAAAGTTTTAGCAATCGGTAATATAATTACAGTGCAATCTCCGTAATTCGAGCTAATTGTTGCAAGAAGATGTTCGAATTATGGAATGTTTTCGGAAAAATCAAAAAATATTTTTAATATACATCTGCTGTATTTTCTGTCTTATTTAAATAATTTAATTTTGCCCACAGATGACTGATGCCATGTCCGAATCTAAAAAGAAATGTAGACAGTACAGTGTTGATTATTTGAAATTTGGCTTCATTCCATCATTGCCGGACAAACAATCGCCTATGTGCCTTTTATGCAACAAAGTTTTGGGCAATGACGCTATGAAACCATCTAAACTGCAAGATCATCTGAGAAGATGCCACTCTGATAAAACAGAGAAAGATTTGAAATACTTTCAATCACTCAAAGATAAATTTCAGAAAAGACCTGCACTGGACAGAATGTTCACTTCGACGTCACAAAGAAATGATGATGGTTTGCGGGCGTCTTACAATATCTCGTTACTTATAGAAAAATCCGGAAAACCGCATACTATCGGAGAGAAGTTAATTTTGCCAGCCGTTGAAGAGGTTTTATAAACTGATTTACACAAACCTGTATCTGATATCATTAAAACAATTCCCTTAAGCAACAATACTGTTGAAAGACGTATTGATGAAATGAGTTCTGATATTGAAAGCTTCTTATGTAATTATTTGCAAACGACCCATTTCTCTATACAACTGGACGAGTCAACCTTACCTAATAATGCAGCATTATTATTGGCATATGTTCGTTTTATTATGAATCAAGAAATCTACGAAGAACTGCTCTTCGCAAGAACTTTGATAACCGACACTAAAGGTGAATCAATATTTCATGTTTTGAAGGATTACTTCATTGAAAAATCAATTCCTTTATCAAATATAATATCAGTAGCTACAGATGAAGCACCTACCATGGTTGGACGTTATCGTTGATTTATAAGCTATTTAAAATAAAATGTGTCAGGGGTGTTAGCAATACATTGCGTCATCCATCGACAACATTTAGTTGCTAAAAATTTGAGTGTTAGTTTGCATGAATCACTTCATTTAGTCATTGATGCAGTAAACCGAATCTGAAGCAACGCGTTGAATACGCGGTTATTTGCGCAGTTGTGTGAAGAAAATGACGAACACTTTCATCAATTACTCCTTCACACTGAAGTACGCTGGCTGTCGAAAGGCTTATGTTTGACAAGATTTTTTCCACTTTTTGAGACTATTTTAGAATTTCTGGATACTAAAGATAAAATTTTAAAAGAAAATTTAATGAAGAGGAAAACAGACATCGCCTATTTAACAGATTTGTTTACAAAATTTAATATGGTTAATTTGCAATTACAAGGCGACAGTTTAAATTTGATTAAAACAAAGTCCATCTTATCAGCGTTTCTTGCCAGAGTTAAACTAATGAAGCAAAATATTGGACGGGGCGAATTTTCTCAGTTCCCCAATTTGTCACAGACAAGCTGCCATGAAGACGACGTTTCAACTTACTCTATTCAGATTTTGAATCTAGGTTTGAGGATATCTTGACTATGGTAATACCACCGTGGATAATTAATCCATATGGTGACATAGAAGAAACGAATGTCATAATACAAGAGGAACTGACTGAACTAAGTATAAACGAAGAACTTAAGGTTCAGTTTAAAAACGGATATCAGCAATTCTGGCTGAAAAACAACATACCCGTTACGTATCCCGTATTATGGAATATAGTGAGGAAATTTTCAATTTCCTTTCCATCGTCATACCTAGTGGAAAGGGGGTTCAGCGCTGTTACCAATCTCCTAACGAAAACAAGCAACAGACTGGACATCATTAGCCGAGGAGATTTAAGATTAATCCTTACAAAATAGACGCCAAATGTTGATAATTTATTATTAAAGCATCAGGTTCATCCTTCTTCCTAAAAATATTGACTTATTGCTTATGTTATTTTATTTATAGTTTATTTTATCTTTATTGGTGTCTGACCAATAAATGCCCGCATTGGAAATAAGTGCCCGCATTGATTTTTTTAAAGAACCCCCTTTATAGAAAATATTTTTTTTTAATTATTCTGAAAATTCAAGGATAGGTACACACTAAAATTCGTTAATTTTTTGCCTATTTTTAGATAACTTAAACGTATAAGAAGCGGAATTTAATCAAACTAACAGTGAAATTATTGTAGAACATACGTTTATGTTATAATTAATAAACGAACTCGCTTATTGTACTATTTTAAGTAAAAAACCTTTTTTTATTTTTTTTTCACTTTTTTTTATTTTATCCCTCTTATTTTTTTTTCAATGCGGGCACTTATTCCCAATGCGGGCACTTATTGGTCAGACACCTGTTTAATTAATGTTACGTATATTTTACATAACAGATACAAAATTTTATTTTGAGTAATTTTAATTTAAATTCAATTAATAAATGTATAAATTAACATGTGTTTTTACTTTAAGTTTTTAACACTAAACTTCACTACAGTTAGAAATTTACAGGAAATCAATATCAGGTAAGTAGGGGGTCTACCTAACACGGAAAAACATGGCAAGTGGTCTACGACACAAAAAAGTTGGGGAACTCCATCCAATTGTCCAAAAAAATAGCGTTGCAACATGTCTCTGTAGTGATCTTCTTTACTAAATGTTTTGACAGTGACAGTTCGATAATTGATTTAAAGGTGCCTTCACAGTGAAAGTTCAAAGTTGTCAAGTCCCTATTGGAAAACCCGATATTATAATCATGGGAAATTTCGAAAATGAGATAATGATGTTTTTTTTGGGTGGTCACATAAAAATGTCACTCAATTCAAACTTCGTGTTTTGACGTTTCAGAGTATCATTTTCAGAAAAATTCTCCCAATGGTTAAACATTGGATGTTGAGGAATGTAGGGGGGGGGGAAGGAGAGTATAATATGTCAATTTTTTGCCAGCAAAGTATACGTTTCCATCTCCGTTAATTCTATGCACCTATAGTCAACGCCAAACAAAGTGGCGTGCACGTCATCACGATAAAAATTCCCCGACCTAATGTCTAGGTTTCTATCACAAACAATTGCTCTATTGCAGTTTCATATTAATGTGATATATAAATTGTAAAATGGTCATTACTCTCTTATTATGGTTAATAGTCATATAAACATTGTTATTAAAATATCACATAAGTTGCTTTCTGATAAATTTAGACGCATTATGCGAAATAAAATGTTTTGCAAACGCTCCAATCACTTATCGACATGTAAACGCACTAAACCGATTTCGCAGCGTTGACACATTGTCACCTTGAAACTTATTTAAACTGGGAACTGACATTTGTATTAATTTTGACACTGAATCAATTTGTGGCATTTCAAATCTTTATAAATCCTTTGGCCCCGCATACTGTAAATCAACAACTGTTTGTTTCAAAACAAAATTATTCATTTTACGAGTAGATAAAGGCAATTTTGGTATATAAAGATGCCCAAACAGTTAAATAGTCGGTTTAAGGAACTCGTGGCCTCGTTAATGCACTACTTTGAGCAAGAAAGGGACAACAACGGGCCTTTGTTGCCTTTAAATGCTGTTCAAGAGGTAGGTTACTAATAATTATATGTAATGTATATTAATAATAGTGAAATTTTATTTCATTTTTTGTAGCGTGTTGCTGCTGCTTTAAAAATTAGTTTAAGGACAGTTAGTCGTATTTCCGAGGGTGTGAAAAGTGATGCAAATTTAGAATCGCCCAAGAAAAAGCGGAATTATATTAAACGTGTAACCAACACAGCGACATTGGATACAAGTGCCATTCGAGAAGTGATCTATAATATGTATCACAAAAGTAAGATCTTATTATAATAACTTATCAGAAATTTGCATTAATTTGTTAACTAAATTATAATGTCATATTACACATGGTTTCAGAAGAACAAGTTACGATACAAACTTTATGGTCTCGATTAAGAGATAGGGCATTATTTGATGGTAGTGCCACGTCTTTAAGGCGGTTGCTTAGAGATCTTGGATTTAAGTGGCTTAAGGACAATCCGCGACGAGGGCTCATGGAACTACCAAGTATAGCTTTGAAAAGGGTGGAATTTATAAGGCAATACAATCAAGCCAAGGTTGAGGCCTTATACCAGTTTGTCTTCCTCGATGAAACTTGGATATTTCAAAATGGGACCATAGGTCGCTCTTGGCAAAATGGAAACCAAAAAAGCGTGAAAGTTATTAAAACAGATGGTAGAAGGTATGTACTTTTACACAATTTGCACTATAAAATTTAAAACTAATATATTTTAGATACATTATATTACATGCTGGAAATGAAAATGGGTTTATTGAGGGTAGTGAAGCGATATTTTCTTCGAAAACAAAATTGAGCGATTACCATGGAGAGATGAACCAGGACAATTTTTTGAAATGGTTTCAACATCAGTTATTAGAAAAATTGGAGAGTCCATCTATGATTATACTGGATAACGCCCCTTATCACAGCATGATATTGAACAAAGTGCCCAACAATGCATGGACAAAAAAAAATATCCAAGACTGGTTGACAAATCAAAACATACCATTTTTAAACACAATGTTTAAAACAGAGCTATTGAGTATTGTTGCTCGGTACATAATGCTTCTTAATTATATATATTTTGGTCGACAGTTTATATTTCTTTTGTTTATTCCTATTCTTAAAATAACTGCTTTTTTAGAAACAAACCACCTAAAATATACGTGATTGATGAATTGGCGGAACAACATGGGCACAAAGTTCTTCGTCTGCCTCCTTACCATTGTATATTTAACCCTATTGAGTTAATTTGGGGCATAGCAAAAGGTTACTATAACAGACATATTGGTAGAGATGGTAACAGTGAAAAAGACTGTTTGGATATGTGGAACGAGGCTCTACAAACGGTTACCCCAGACATGTGGAAAAATAGTGTTCGACATACTGAGCAAGAAATTTTTAAATGGTATGAAAGAGAACGAATTTTTGATCGACCAGACATCGAACCTTTAATAATCAACTTTGAGAGTGATGAAGATTCAGATTCAGACAGCGCTGAAGAAAGAAACTCCGACTAACTTTATTGTACAGAAAAAGCTTACACCAGTAGCTTACCTAATTTTAGAATGCATTTTTCTGTATGAATTCTGTAAAATAAATACCATGCATAAAATTTGGAGGACCCCATTTGGATTTTTATTCAGTACCTTTAAGCTATCAATTAAATATGGTAGTTTCATAGTGTCATCTGATCAATAATTGTCATACTTAATGATTATGCAAGTACAGATCTATAATTTTATTATACTATTATTTTTGTTCTCATTTGAGGTTAATATTGCTTATAAACCTAGATATGTAAATAATAAATTTTATTATTTTACAAAAAGTTTGGCAACAATGTAAATTTTTCAACACACCCACCTTGATGACGTGCACGCCACTTTGTTTGGCGTTGACTATATTAGGTATATTTCATATATTACTGATTACTGAATGATGTTTTTTTTGGGTGGTCACATAAAACAATGTCACTCAATTCAAACTTCGTGTTTTGACGTTTCAGAGCATCATTTTCAGAAAAATTCTCCCAATGGTTAAACATTGGATGTTGAGGAATGTAGGGGGGGGGAGGAGAATATAATATGTCAATTTTTTACCAGCAAAGTATACGTTTCCATCTCCGTTAATTCTCTGCACCTATTAGGCATATTTCATATCGTCGTTGCCGTGGAAAAAGCTCCTATGTGATAAATAGTAAAGTTTTCAGGAGATACGAAAAACATGTTCATGCTGAAAAGGTGTAGTAAAACAAGATGCATAGGACATAAGAATACTCTGTATTGAACATTTCATGCTTGTATTAATTGGGCAAGGAATATTAACAAAATTATAAAATAAAATTTTATTCTTAAATAAAACGTGTCCACATAGGAGCATTTACTATATTTAATAACGTCACATAGGAGATATTGCTTAATTATTAGACGTTACAATATAAATTAGCGATAAGGCACTACGAGTTGGAATTGCACTTTTTTACAGTGTTTTTGTCTTTTTTGAAGGTCAACTTGTCATAAAAATGATGATGCTCTTCTTCTATCACACCTTTTAGTTCTTGAAGGCATTTCCATTTCGTTTCAGCTATGGGAATTTCACAGGAATACAATGGAGGTGGTTTTTGAACATATCGTGTGAAAACTCGTTGGGGTAACTCTTCAAATTCCTCACTGTGCCGTATTTTGTAAAATATATCGCCAGTCGGGCGATATTCCAGTGCTCGGATGTCCACAACGTGTGGATCGCCCACTTTCTTCCCAGGTCGCAAAGATCGGAGATTTGTTGGCAATTTTTCGAAATTGAGAAAAAATTTGTAATCCAGTACGTTGATTTTATATGGTTGTTTGGGTCTAGCGCTTCTCATTTGAGCAATATAATCGCTAGGTGAATTTATTGGTGGGACGAAGTACTTCTCAAGCGAAGCGTGTACGCTGTCACACTCCATCATGGTGTGGCCCTTCTCTAAAAAGAGTTGTCTGATAAGAATTCCTGACTGCACTGCATAATCACGCAGAGCACTACCTAGAACCTTATTTCGATTTTGGTATGTGCAGCCATCAGATATTAACGTAACTGTTTGGTACTTGTGTTCACAAGATGACAGAAAATCTATCACACATGTGGCAAACTCGTTCGAGGATACTCCGCCATTTGACTCATGCCAGACATAAAGAGATACTTCTTTGTTATTTAGCACAAAAATAGTAAAATTGTGTAGTTGTAGCTTCTGTTTGTAATACATCCTAGAGGCATCAGTTTTAGGGCATAATAAAACACTTTGTAGATCCATAGTCAGGACGAGATGTGTGTCATTAGCCTCAGCCTTTGCTTTATTCTTTGCATCTCGAGCTTCGTTTTTCATAATGATATGCTTTTGATATTCATCGTAGGAAACCGATTTTACCTTGTACCCACAACATATGTCGCATTGGTCCTTACGAGGTGAATGTATCTTAATTTTTTCCTGCTTAAGGACATCTAAAAAGAATGTTCTTGAGGCTGCCTTTGTATCATTACTTTTGCACCAGTCTTCATATACACTATACATGTGTGACAGAGATCTAAATGTCGATTCTACGTAAGTACAACTGCTTGTACTTCGGCAATAATGGCTAGGAACCTTAGGGAGCAGCGCTAACCATTTTAAAATATTGTTTTTCATTTCATTGTGAATTTTCTTCTTAACTCCTTCTGCTATTGTTCTCTTCTTCCGTTTCGGTATGTCGTCCCGTTCGGTTTCGTTTTCTGCAAAAGTGTCGCTTCGTCTAACCCATCTCCTAAATGTATCTTCCCCTAGATCAAGTGTATTAATAAAGAAACGTCTGCAAACCCTTACTCTTTCTCCATTACATTTCGGCAAGAATATATCGTGTCCTTCTTTCTTTTTTGAGTTATTGTTTGCGTCTTTTCTCCTTCTTCTAACATCTCTGGTGCTAGTCAATCCTTTAACGAATGCTTTCTTTTCAGGCCAGCTACTAAAATTCCAAAATTTCTTGAAAATTCGTTGCCTATCGTTTTCAGATACCATGTTACAAAGAAAACTTCTTTCACTTTTCTTACCGCATAAAGTGTGACTACAACGCTCCTTTACTGATCTCGATGTCTTCATACAATTTTGTTTTATTTTACCATCATCAGATTTTTTGTAGCCAACATAAGATAACCCGGCAACTCTGCTTTTTTTGGCTTTAAGACGTTTCTTACTTATACGTGAAACTGGACTATCTGACCACGAACTTGAGCATGAACTATTACCTCCCTCTCCAAGGGTTCCCCCATTTTGTTCGATTGATGTGCGCACTTCATCCAAATCTCTTCCATCGTTTTGTGTTTTTACATCCGTAGTTTGATTTTGCACAGTATTCACCTCCATCACTGGATTCGCTGAAGTGTGCTCTACGTTAGAATCTTCCACTTCCTCTTCTATTATAAATGCTTCATCAGTAAACGAAATTGGTATAACAGTGCCATCAATATGACTGACAATGCACTCCTCCCATTCACTATCCATGCCTAAATCCTTTTGATCTGCTTCTCCGTAAACACAATGTGAGCTTTCGTTGCATACATTTTTATCATTTTCGATATTTTCCAGTGCCGCTTGAAGAATTCGCCTACTTCGACTCGACATTATGATTATCTACAAAAAAAAGCTCGGGATAGAATATGTTTACAGCAATGAACGCCTGAACGTAAAAAACAGCTAATCAGATGTTGAACGTTAGGGTACGAACACAAAGAAAGCAGGTTTATCAGCGCCGACTCTCGACGTCGAAAACCGGCGCCTGTACGAGCACAAAGAAAACAACTAGCCGGGTGCGGACACAAAGAAAGCATGTTACCTGCTTACTTGTAGTCGACGCTTACAAACGCCAAGAATTAAGTACGCTTTTGAAATGTCCCGCACACAGATAAAACTTGTTGTAACACCCTGTTTATAGACCTTGATCCTTTTATGTTGTATAAAATACTACCAAATCTGCTAGTATGTCAATCATATGGTTCATCAGTATAATAGATAAAATAGAACTTAACTCAGTTGAACGGTTTCGTTGTAACTAATAGCAGCAATAAGCTCAAAAAAGTAATTCCGTTTAAATGCTGAAGCACAGTACCTTTCGGATTCTAACCTCTAATGTGCACAAACTAGACACGTGGTGAATGGTCAAAATCACTTATGTGTTAGAGAGTCTAACACATAAGAGGTTTTACAACAACAGCTATAATAATAGAGGTGGAGAAGTCTTCTATGTGTCAGCACTGGATGCTTCTGTGTACATAAGAGATTTTGCACAAATGATTTTTTGTGATGTGTACATAGGAGATTTTATTTTTTCAGAATAACACAGGTTAAGCTAAAACAGCACATATAGGGTTTTGCCACATTACAGAGACATTCATTACTTTTACGTTGGTATCAAAATACCAATTTCGTAAAAATTACACATGAGAGGTTTTTCCACGGCAACGACGATATATTACTGATTTCCCCGTACATTTGACTTTAAAAATGGAATGATAGAGATATATTTTCGGTAGGTAATGCATGCCGGACAACTCAGCGAGCGTATGTCTATCTGCTCCGAATTCTGAGGGCTAACTTAACGATGATGCGTGTATCCGCATATGGTGTATGCAACACCGCTGGGTATTAGGCTAGATTACAATGGTATCAAAACTGTGGGGACTTCTATGAGCATGTTTGACTAACATGATCCATTTCATTCCTTAGTTATACATGTTCGTAGCCAACTTTTTCCGAAGAGGGAATAACGTGCTGAATATAATTCTTTATGAATTGATGACAGCGTTGCGAAGGAAGTGCAGAGTTAACCTACTTGTGCATCAAAATTACTGATAATTTTTCATGAAAGGGTGTTGTCTAAAAACTGCAGAAGTCAGAGTCGGGTTCTTTCGCAAAATGTGAATAGAACCGAATGCGGTTTTTCACTGACAACATATGCTTGAATGGAAAATTGTCAGGTTTATTTTGATGCACGAGTGTAATTCGGTAGAATATTTCTCGAGTTGAAAGAGTAAAAGTATGTGTTAAGTTTGAAATTTTATTTAAATTTATATCAAGTAGGTAGGTACATAAAATTGACTATTTCCATATATACTGATGTTTCAGTATCTTTAGGTTTACTTTGACCACTTGTTCGTGAATTAAGCTCAAAGAATAGTTTCCGAAACGTGATATTCGATATTTATGACAAGATGACAAATGCACATTAATTTCATCAATCGCAACTATAGATACGGACTTATAGGGCAATTTACCGTACTGGGCTATTTTCGCTGTAATTTTACGATAATTTTTTAGGGGTAAAGAGTAAGGGGGTGGGGGAGGGTGTAACTCAATTTTTTTATGTTAGTATATTTTTTTTCTCTCTCTCTCTCTCTCTCACTCACACACACTTTCAGCCCCAGTAATTCTACGCACCACAGATTTCCCCGAACTTAGAAAAATATTTTCAGCATATGCGGGTTATTTATTTATAAATATTGCATCTTTGGTACTCAATCCCAGCAGGCAAGCAGCATGGCGACATACTAGGTGGGCGCAATATTATCTATATACCAGGTGTTTCAAACTCGACCTTCACCATTGGGATGTCGGAAACGGTAATAGATACGAAGTCACTTGAATGGGGGCAAAGTTGCGTTTCAGGTAACTAACAACAAGCCACTTAGAGAGCTTCAAAATTCAAAGTAGTTCCGGGGACAGACGGAAAAACCCGAATTTTCCCAAAATCGTTTTAGTTCTTTCCTGACTTTACTTGTAGTGGAATATAAAAATAAATTGTACCTTAACAGTGCCACTTTTTCTCTTCTACAAGATGGCATAATCAAAATTCAATCAATCAATATGTTTCCTTCTATTGTCCTCCAGCATCATATGATGGGCCATATTGGACAGTTGCACAGATCAATAGAGTTTTCAATTCTAATTCCCAATTGCCAAATATTCGTTATTTGAAAAAAACAGAATATCGTAGTTAAGCTTCGAAATTATCAGATTAATTTGTTTGGTATACCAAATTTAATACAAATCATTTTTATTTTTTCTGACTTCATTTTAGATACAACAAATTCTTGGAGATTGTTGTTAAATATGGTTTTGTCGGTCAGTCTCTTAAATGGGCCAGATCGTTTTTAATCCAAAGAAAACAATATGTTTCAGTAGAATATCTTGATGCAGGGAACAATATGAAAAACTTTGTGTCAAGTACGTTAAACATCTCGATTGGAGTCCCTCAGGGCTCTATTCTTGGACCAATCTTTTTCCTCTTATACATTAATCAGTTTGATAATGTGAATCCAGGTACCCATTTTACAGCATATGCTGATGACGTTTCTGCCATAATATCAAGTAATTCAAATATAATTTTGAAAGATAAATGTAACAACTTAAGGAATATCAATACATGGTTTAACCAGTACTCACTTTACTTGAATCCTTCCAAAACAACGCTTATTCATTTTCATCATGCTCAAAAAACTGTAGAAGGGATTCAAGTTAGATTGGGTGACGATCAACTCGATTTTAGAGGAGAAGTGAAATTTCTTGGAGTTTGATTCGAACTTAAATTGGAAGGGCCACTGCGAATTTCTCACATCAAAGCTATGTGTTGAGGCAATTAAAAACCATCTTAACAGCTGAACAATTGATACAAGTTTATTTTGCTAATGTGTATTCGAGATTAAGATATGGAGTATGTTTCTGGGGTTGGTCAACGCGCTCTGAAGATGTATTTGTGTCTCAAAACAGATGCATCCGATCATTAGCAGGCATCTCACCAACAGAAAGTTGCAAAAAATATTTTATAAGTTTCAACATTTTAACTGTCCCTTCGTTGTATATATAAGAATTTTGCTTACATGTTTTTAAAAATAATGAAAAATTCAAGCGGAATTGTGATATGCATAATTATGATACAAGGACTTGTAATAATTTATATGTAAACTTCAGCAAATCAAAAGCGGCATTTCGATCACCTAATAAAATTGGTCCGCTTCTTTTTAATAATTTACCATGCCACATACCTCGGTTAAAAATATTAACGACTTCAAGTTCCAGTTGAAGCGATTTTTGATAAACAAGTGCTTTTATCGTGTTGATGAATTTTTGAACATTGCAATTTGAGATTAGTTATAGATTTGTAGCGAACGAAAAATTGACAATTCCAATACAATTATACATTGTCTGTATGGAAATAAAGGTTATTGATTGATATTGATTGATTGATACGATATCTAAATAAATTTCATGTTGTATTTGGCCATTTTTTCTCCTCTACACGAAAGTGTGTTCAGATTTGCAATCCGAGGTTCCTTCTTTCGACTTCCATCACCAACTTTGTTTTTTCATATGGACACTATATTGGAATTTTCTATATTTAAATACCACTAAAAATAGAAATATAAAAAAATCGATTTTGGGAAAATTCGCTTTTTTCTGTCTCTCTCCGGAAGTACTTTGAAGTTCAAAACTTTCTAAGCAGCATCTTGCTAGTTACCTGAATGAGTAAATTTGCCTCCTAATGGTGTGAGGGTCGAATTCGAAACACTCAGTATATGAGCGTTATGCTTGGAGTGTAATTCAATGATGTTATTGGATTTCGTATATATATATAGTATATTATATAAGTATTTATCAATAGCTATAATCATTCATCAAGCACTGTTGACAAACATTTTTTCACCAGAGCTCCAAAGAAATGAGACTCCTCTGTACGGATGGCTGCAATCTGAAGTATTTTTTTATGAAAAGCTCAAATAGTTCAATACTGGTTCTAATAAAACCTACACGTATTTTTGATGCCATTACACTACATCGTAAAGTGTACTAGAAGTTGTTTCGAATGCGTGGGATTTATATAACCAATATATTTGAAGTCATTACGTAATTACGTCCTGTCGAATGATTTGGAGTGATAAATAATTCTGACTGTATCCTTAGGAGCTATTTAAATTTTCTAGGGAGCGCTTAATTTCTGTATTTGTAGGAGCAGTTGTCGTCTCTTTGCAAATCCATACTTACCTATACAATTTCTAGGGCCAGCACTAAAAGCTATATAAGAATATGGCTTCTTCCCGTCATTATCTTCAAATCTGCTGGGATTGAACGTTGTAGGATCTGGGTAAAACTCTGAGCTCCTCATCATACCATAAGCAAATATCCCTATATTGAGTCCTGCTGGAATGATATTACCTACAACCAAAGTGGAATCATAATCGTACTTCGAATTAATAAAAGCGTTATGAGTCAGCCTGCATCATATTTTGATGGTCGTACACCATTATATACCTATTTTGATAATAGAACAAGTTTTTGGCAGTGCTACAATTTTCATTATTATACCCAGATATTCGCAGGATAGCATTTATATTTTTTAAGTGGCAGGTACCTATGTTCATCTTTTTTATTAAATTGGTTGGTTGGTAAATTGAAATTTTATTGTACAAACAAATTCGAAAAAGTTGATGGGAAAACTATTAAAATTTAGAGAGTGGAGAAATAAATGTACGTCTACACTTTCTTGCTTAAGAATGATAATTGATTATTGACAATTGTTACAAAAACCTCAGTAAAAATAAACAAGCTTTGAAAACAAATAAAATTTCAAAGTTGATACCTTAAATAATAATCTACCTTTACGATGGAAGACTATGAAACTCAAAGTTTGTAGTGTATCATTCGATTCCATTTTTGTCGTGTGTTGCCAAAAAATAAATAATAAAATAATAAAAGAGTACGAACGTTCATTTGATGTAATAGAAATGGTCATTATTTTTGTTCTTACACACAGTGAATTGAACGGTATTGTAATCGCGAACAATTTAAAAAATAAATTATGTTAATTGGATTTTATAAAACATTCACTCATTTCCATCGGTCTGTCTATCTATCGGTCCGGTAACTTTAAAAATGACATTATGTCGGGTTTCTTGACATTATGTAGGTTTTTCATGCTTACTTGTAGCAAGCGCAAAATGAGCTATTTGCACACTAGTCTACTTAGTTAACAAGTTGAAATTTTATCGTTTTTTTATTTTTGACATTACATATATAGGTTTTTTACGTAATAACGCTGCCGAGTTTTCGAAAATAGGTCCATTGACGGGACAATAAACGAAAAAAATAGAAATCGTTCAACCTTCAATGATTTCCAGGAAACATTTTATAGGGCTGAAACATTAGAGGTGTGGAGGTTATAGAGGGTTGGGGAAGGTATCTTAATTTTTTGATCTTAGTATATTTGTACGTTCCGGTAATTCTACGGAGCTATTTACATATTTCACACATCTTAGATTTGCCCTACAGATAAGTTTAGTATTTAGGCGCAAAATATCTGTAAATACTTCGAGCATATACCATGGTAGACGTTTCGCGGGGTTATCTCAAAAAATAATTTTGTCAGGTCGTATTTAAGATTTATAACATCCTTTCTCTTTTTTATTACTCGCACTTGAGTGGTGGAGCGTGTGCGTTTTTTTATTAATAAATATATTGTTACTCATTTGATATCTTGTTTATTTGGCTCTCTCTGCGTGGCTAAATCCGTCCTAAGTCACTGGCGCTCTTACCCCCCCCCCCCTACCCTCCGCTTTATTGAGCTAGGGCATAAATTTGCACGCCACTAGACAACTGTTTTTCTTGGACCAACCGTTAGATAGATAGTATTTATCATTGTGTTTTATTAATTAACCAAAAAAAGGCATGGCAATAAGCACAGGTAAACATCTACTATGTTCAAAACCTTGTCCGTTATTTTATAACCAAGGTCTGACGCTTCTCTGCACTTTGTTTACTGCTCGGTTTATATCTCTTCTCGCTCTTCCAAACTCTGTTACTACGTTCAATTTGAGGTCTGGTCTGGTATACAAATGACTATCCAATTATATCAAATTCTATTTTTTTCCGAAATCAAGGTTTGGCAATGTCTATCATATTATACATTTTTGGAATCAGAATTATAAACTTTCTTCACCAGTGTAAGAATCCAATATGGCGTCTATGAGATAAAATAATGTTGATTCTGGTCTTTCAAGAGACGAAGCGGATTTGGAAACAGCGACCCCAAAACCTTGTTATACTGAAAATCTGATAAATGTTGTGGAAAATGTAATTTTCTGATTTGTTTTTGGCGTCATGGACCACTGCATCCTCATAATGAGGCCTCGATTAGCCGTGACCTTTACCTTTATATTCGACATCTTTATCGGTTTTTCTAGCAAAAAATGGTACTGATGGATACAGTCTCAAAGTTTCTTTTATAACACATTCTAGATATTTCATATTTTGTAGGTCGTCGTAAGTTGCTTGCCTTAGGATGTTACCGGCAAATATACTTTTTTGTTCTTCCAACGCTTTTTCCTGAAAAAAAAAATAATAAATAAAATACCTTGGTTGAAAAGAAATTTAATATTGATCGGCCACTTTAAGGGCGGTGAGCACCAACCAAGAGGTTTCAAAACTAAACTAGTTGCTGGCTGAAAATATATAAAACTGCCGACCTCAGGAGTTCTGTCGATCAATAATAACATAATATTTCAATCCAGTTCTACTACATCCATGTACGAAAATATGTATCAGATTCATGCTTGAAAATTCATACATATTTACGGAAAATATTAGATATTTAATCAAAATATTAAATTGATATATAAAAATGCTTCCTCGTATATTTTCTAAATATTTGGAAAAAATATCGCAAAAATATATAAATTATATATACTACAAATATCTATAATGAATATGAGAAATATATTTATTAAATATTAAAAAAGCTGTCGCTACAATTATTTAAGAAACATTTTTAAAAAAATATGTAATAAATATTTAATGCTATCGGGGTTACCTCTGCTTATTTATGATTATTATTCTTATTGCCATCAATAACTTCTTGTTCAGGTTTCACCGTACGTTTTGCTTTTTTTATCATTTTCATTCCAGCAACAAATGTATGGCCAACTAAGGAAATATATCACTGAATTTAGAACTGCGAATTTCATTTAAATGTGCAAAATTCCAATACAGCACTTACAAAGTTGGTGAAGAAATTCGAAAGAAACTTTGAATGGAAATTTGACTACGCCATCTTGTAGTGGAGAAAAATTGACAACACGTAATTTACTTTGAAATCCCATCACAAGTAAAGCCAGGAAAAATAAAACATGATTTTGCGATAAGTATGGTATATGAAAGAAATGAGTATCTGATAATTTCAAGGCCTACCTAGGAAATTCTATTTTTCTTAAATAACTAAGGCCCGTATCGTCAGTCGTCCCTACAATTGTAGGGCGCCTTTATGGCCTCCTTGATTGTCATAGTTTTCTACTTCTCCGTGTCAGCGCTCTATTTTGAGGTTATGTCACAAACATCAATTTACATCAAATTGTGCTTGGTTGTGAGTTATATCATGTTTTATCAGCCTGAAATTTCCTACAATTTAAAAGGAAAACAAATCTTCACAATAGGAGAGCGCTGACGCTGACACGTGTGTGACAAGTGTAATCTAGAAATTTTTGAAGGAGAGAAAGGAGTATGACAATCAAGGAGGCCATAAACGCGCCCTACAATTGTAGGGTCGACTGACGATACGGGCCTAAGGTTTGTTTGACAATCTGGATGTGTACATTTTCAGGAACAGAAGTAAAACCTGACCTGTGCAAAAATCCAACATAGCATACATAAGAATACTTTTTTGTAATCAGAATTATAAACTTTATTTATCTGTGCAAGTCCATTACGGAGTCTATAAGAAAAAAATATGTTGATGCTGGAAGGTAAGAGACGAACGTCATGTTGAAACTCTGATTATGTCATCCTGTAAAGGAGAAAAAGTGGCAATGCAATTTATTTTGAAATCCCACTACAAATTAAGTGAGGAAGAAATTAAAACGATTTTGAGAAAATTCTGTTTTTTCCAGATCTCTCCGGAGGCACTTTAATTTCGAAACTTTCTAAGCGGCATTTTGTCGGCTACCTAAAGACGCAACTTTGCCCTCATTTAAGCCACGTCGTGTCTATAACTGTTTCCGAGATCCAACTGGTGAGATCGAATTTGAAACACCTGGTATCATCTACGAGAATTATAATGGTCCTCTCAGATGACGTATATAGCGACCGTGAACTACTAAAGTTAACTTACTTGAATATCTGGATGGTTTGCCAGAAGGAACAGTGCAAAGCTCATGGCAGATCCAGTAGTATCATGTCCCTGGAAAAAAAATTGCTTTAAGTGGGAAAGAAGGAAAATAGTAGATTAAATACCTTGGTGGAGAAGTATTCGAGGACAATAATGGCCTCCATCGAGGTACGTACTTATAGAATTTTTTTCACTATGACCAACTATGAAATATTACTACATATAGTTTGATTAGACTTGGTAATATAGCATATTTGAAAATATCCGGCACCACTTTCCGACTGGAACACAAGAAATGTCTGGATCAGGTGCGCTGTTGCTAATGATAGAATTCAACAAAGACACGCATAGGTCGACGCATTATTAGTTTCCCACTCATTTTCAAATACTCTAATTTATTGAGTATTATAAGATTTTCAAGCTGTCAAAATAATGTGATAAATAATAAATCAACAACAATAATTTCAGTTATTAAATAGGCACTGTATTAACTTGTAGTAATTGATAAAGTGATAATTCCATGCCCAATAAGCTCTACATAAATTCACACCACAGAGTACTACCAGAGGCGACACTCTGTCAAAAATCAGGTTCTATCAACGCCAACATGAGTTCTATGCGTTTGGTGGGATTCCTATTGCTGTGACATTTAGGAGTTATCCGTGGAATGTTTCGATACGTGACCACAAAACAGTTTTATCAATACAAATCAATGATGTGGCATAAATGCATTTGGGGAAATAAACACAAATTTCTCCATACTGTAGCTTGATATATGACAGTCGTGACGTCAGACTAATAACGCGTAACCTCTAGGAAAAATCGTCCGGACGCTATTGAACAGAAGGGTAAATGTGGTAAGCAGTTGGGGACACGAAGATCAAAGGGACCGACAGCAGGTGTCGCATCTGTATAATCTGTGTTCAGACATTAATTATTCATCCAGGGAGAGAGAGAGAAATGCAGCTTCTCCTTAAAGAAATGCGGTAAATAATGGCGATTTCTCAGGTTCGTAGTGAAAGACGCGTTTTGGAATTTTGGAAGGTAATCTTTTTCATAAGCAGAACGTGTTTCCGTGATACGGATTTTTCCATTGTCACTATTTTCAACAAATTTCAAATTTTCAGAACTGTCAAAATTTTCAAAACTCAGAACTTGCAAAATATTCATTTTCGGAATTTTTGACAATACATCCTCTTGTAATTTTTCTACACATATACCTACCTCAAACATGAAGGTGTCTACTTCCTGCCTTATTTCATCATCAGTTAATGGCCTCCCATCTATAGTCGACTGCAAAAGCATATCCAAAAACGCTACTCTCTTCTTGGTTTCACAATTCTCGCCATCTTCTTCTGTTGTTGAAGTCTCATTCAAGAGTTTCCTCCTAGAATCTATCACTGAATATGTAAAATTATGGATTTTTCGAACAGCATTTCTTTCTTTCCAGTAATTGGGGAACATCCAATAGAATATTGACAGTCGTTCTTGAACTCTGTTTTGTCGTTGAGCTACGATTTTGCAGAGGAGTTTCACGTTTTTAACGTATTCGGAGTCCTCTATCTCTTGGGCGTTGATAGCTACGCCCATCGACGAACCTGTGAAATCAAATCAATATGTCTGAAATAAGCGTGTTTGCTTTCCGTCTCATGTAACCATGACCAACCATGAAAAACTCAAAATATTAACAAAAGACACTCTAGTTCGCTTTCCGTTTCGTCAGTCTCCAGGACTAGACTTAAGACCTCTACCGCACTGATGTCTTGCTAATGAGCACCACACAGCACTGTCTGTGGTTGGTCAGAGTGGCTTGGCACCGAAAGCAAACATGTCCTTCTCAATCGTGTCTATTTATGCATTGTTACATAGAAAAAGCATTGCTGGTTTGCTCTGTGAATACAAAGTATTCCGACCACTTGACACTCGACCGTGATAGTGCGAAGCGACATTTTTGTTGCTTCTTACCGCAGAACGTCGAGAACATAAGTGTATCTCTGTCGTCTTCATCGTATGAGATCAAGACGGGAAATCAAACAAACCATATGGCAGGTGACAATCATGAGATTTTCACCTATTTACGCACATCGAATCAATACACAATTATTATAAGACATCACCTTTTGTTTTTAAAAATAGCGTAGTGGAGCAAATTGACTTCACACTACTGGTGAGGACGTATTGTAATCGCGAAAATGAGATATTACGTTTTTGGATGGTATATGACATCTTCATCACCATGCCCCCCATTTCCGTCGGTAGGTCTGTCGGTCTGTTTGTCTGTCTGTCTGGCTGTCTGTCTGTCTCTCGGCCTGACTGTCATATCGGTCTGTCTGTCAGTCTGTCTGTCGGTCTGTTTGTCTGTCTGTCTGTTGATCTGCCTGTTTCTTATAATAATAATCCGCATTGCATGGGAAGTGCATTATCAACATACACCTACTTCACGCTATTTTTTATATATGTTTGTGTTGCAGTTCTCAGTAAGTTTTGTTATGTATACTAAGTGACATATAAATCCGAACACCCAGTTTAAATGGTTTTATTTTAATAAAATTTTGTATAAGTACTTAATGAAGCATAATAAGTAAATGATAAAAATTGCAAAATGATTGCACTGCTTTAAAGCCCTTTGACCTTTAATAATCTGTGGATGCACCCTGATGTGCTACGCATTCTCCAACGCGCCTAGGCATGCTTCTGATCAGGTGGTCAATGTCCTCTTGTGGTATCTCATTCCAGGCAACCACCAACTCCTCTCGAAGTGCTTCTAGAGTCTGAGGAGGACGTTGCAAATTGAGCAATCTCCTACCCATCATATCCCACACGTGCTCAATTGGGGATAAGTCGGGAGATCTTGGTGGCCATGGTAACAATGTGACATCATTATGTTGAAAGAAGTCTATTGTGACTCTTGCAACATGTTGTCGGGCATTATCTTGTTGGAAAGTTGGATCTGCCAGGGTGTCAAGATAGGGTAAAAGATGGGGTTCTAGAACTTCCTGGATATAACGCTGCGCGTTTATGTTACCTCTGATGAAGATTAAAGGTGACCTGGAACCATAAGCTATAGCACCCCAAACCATAACTCCAACAGTGTGATGAACATGTCTTTCAACAAAAAACTGTGGATTCCTCCTTTCACCACGTCGCCTTTTAACCCTGGCACGACCATCGTGCATGCCTAAACAAAATCGAGACTCGTCACTAAAGACAATACTGTTACATTCCTGATCCCAGAGTGACCGTTGTCTGCACCACTCAAGGCGATTACGTCGGTGTTCTCGAGTTAAAGGGAGGACCCAGTGTGGCCGGTATGAAAACAAGCCAAAACTTCTCATTCGTCGGTAAACACTTCGCATGCCAATAGGTCTTCCGTGTTCTGCAAACCATTTATTTGCAATGGACCTGGTAGTGGAGAAACGGTCCCTTAAGGCCAATAATCTTAGGCGGCGATCTTCACGGTCTGCTGTTCTACGGCGGCGTCCAGTGCCCCTTGCTCTTTGCGTACGGCCTTCTCGAAGCCATGCCTGACAACACCTAACCACAGTGTCTACACTTCTTTGCACTCTAACTGCAATTGCCCGAAAAGAAAGTCCAGCTTCCCGAAGTCCCACTATACGGCCCCTATCAAACTCACTAAGTTGACGAAATCGTACAGGTCTCCGTACTCTAGGCATCGTAACCGATCGTAAAGAATGTCAAGAACCAAAATCCGCCAACGTTGATTTTTTACTGCGGCTGAAATATTCATTTTTAGAGCGTTAGTGAATTAAAAAAAAGCAGTATAAAAACCGGAATGTCCAACTGCTAAGGCTGAAAATGTTTTCACTTGTTATTTACAGTAAGATAAATACATTCACCAACTTTTATTAAAATAAAACCATTTAAAATGGGTGTTCGGATTTATATCTCACTTAGTATATTTCAAGTAGAAAGTGTTGCGGTCATGCGCTCATATGAAAATAATAAGTTAAATACTCGAAAATGTATTTTTTATAAAGTATTAAAATTAAAAAAATGGTGAAAGTTTAAAATACACAATATTCTAAAATATGTAATTACAAAACCCCCATGAATGCAATTAACTTGAAGTTATTTTCAGAGCTGAGGTGTTCGCCTTGTCGATAAACTATTGAATTCCAATTTTTTTATTGAGTAATAAATCACCTAACCTTCAACCTCTGATCGGTCAGTCAAAGTTAGATAATCAACAGTATAGTATATATATATATATATATATATATATATATATATATATATATATATAAATAAATATACTTACCGCAAATAACATCTAGTGAATACAAAGTTATGTATCGATATATATCTATATCCTTCCCATCCATCTTCTTCAGTTTTTCAACTAATTTCACACCATTCGCCTCAAAAGAGTCGATAAATTGTTGTAGGATTGAAAAGTGGAAAGCTGGTGTTAACAGTTTTCTCATTTTTCGCCATTTGGTTCCTACAAATATAGAAAGTTTCAACAAACACACTAGACAGAGGTATTTTCCAAAATGATTATTTGGACGGTATATCAATATTTTGAAATAATCCAGCACAAGTGACCAGAATCGACTTTCGGCTTTTCAAGGAAAAGAATCCTCAGATTGCAGCAATGAATGTGTCCGTACACGGTGGCCTCATTTCTTTGGAGCTCTGATGTAAAACTGATTGTACCAGCTATGTGCTTTTTCTCACAAAAAATTTAGCAACGCTATTATAACCATAAATCGGGATCGAAATGGCCAGCCATGCAGTCATTCATTCGCAGACAGGGTTTACTGTATGAAGGAAGGAGACCCGCAGTCTAGACACGATTGTACGAAATGTACGAGGCAATCTATGATGTGTGAATTATGTCTATAGTAGAATACCAAAATTGATGACAGTAGCGAAACTCATCGTACCCCACTGCTGTTACGCGGAGACCTTCGAAAATGCAGGCGCTTCTTTGTGAAATGTCGGTAAACGTCCCTGTAATCAAAAGGTACAGAGTCAAAGCAGTGGCGCACGATGACTTCTGATACTGTTATCAATTCTGGTATTCGACTATAATAGGTGAATAGATTTACGAGCGGTTAGAAGTATACTAACATAAATAAATTGCGATACGCACCCGAGGTTTGAGCGATTTTTATTTTTGGCATTTTTCTCCGTCGCCACTAGATCAATTTTCAAAAACTACAAAGAGTTGTGGCAGGTATATAAAACTCTTAGGAATAAATGTGTATATGTAACTAGAGAAGAAAAAAGGAAATTCTACGATAAACAAATCGATAATAACAAGTGCGACAGTTTAAAGATGTGGAAGACTTTAAAACGACTGATCAATTCGAAGCCGCATGATTGTGTAAATCAAGTTCAATTCGAAAACGGTACCGAAACAAATTCTTTGGTGATTGCAAACAAACTAAATGAATATTTTGTGGAAAGTATTGTTGATATTTTGGGTACTTCCAATGCTGCACCTGACTCTATGAAAATCAGTTTCCAGGGGGAAATGTTGCATACACTTTCAAAATTTCACAGCGTATCATTGAATTATCTAAGAAGAAAGTAAACAGTTTGAAATCAAATAACAACTGTGCCGAAATCACTATTAAAAACGTGCTGAAAAACTGTTTCGAAATTTTGGGATATCCTGTATTAAATTGGATCAATTGTTCACTGAGAAGCAGTTCTTTTCCTGAAAATTTGAAATGCTCTACAATAACACCAGTTCCCAAAATAAAAAATTCTAAAAGATGCAGCGATATGAGACAGTAAATGTGTTACCAGACCAGACCAGTTGGTAACTGAGAATTGGAGAAGAGCCATAGACTCAGAAGAAGTTGTCATAGCAGTATTTTTGGATTTGAAGAGGGCATTTGAAACGATTGATAGAGATATTTTGTTAGGTAAATTGAAGGCATATGGTATAACAGGAAGTGTTTTAGATTGGTTTAGAAATTATTTGTCTAAAAGGATGCAAGTTACAAAAGTTAATGACACCATTTCATCAAACATTGAAAATACGTTGGGTGTTCCACAGGGCAGTATCCTGGGACCACTTCTTTTTATTTTATACATAAATGATTTACCTGCCATAGTCAAAAAATGCAAAATTCAGATTTTCGCCGATGACACTATGATTTATGTAAGTACTAAAAATATTCAGTCTGGTATCTCTTATATAAATGAAGACTTGAAACTTGTCTCAAAATGGTTAGTATCTAACAGACTAAAATTAAATACAAGTAAAACGAAAGCCTTGTTAATCGGAAAAAAAGGTACAAATGTTCAACTGAATATTGAATGGTGAAGATATTGAATTCGTAGAAAATTTTAAATACCTGGGGTTTTTTGTTGACTCTCGATTAATTTTTGATATTCATTATGAAAAAGTTATAAATAAGATTAGTAGTGAAGTGGGATATTTATCGAGAGTTTCTGGATGCTGAGTTCATATAGCAGAAAAATTCTATAATACCATCATTCTTCCAAATTTCTTGTACTGTTCGACTACTCTATATTTAGCAAATACATAATTCTATTTTTGAAAGACTGCAAATTTTACAAAATAAGTGCATGCGAATAATACTAAATAAAGATAAATATACTCCAATTAGGCAAATGCTTAGCAAATTAAAATGGCTCAATGTAAAAAAAATTATCGATAATCTTGTAATGCTATTCATTTATAAAAAAACAATATATTTCCATCAAGTCTAACTAATTTAACATCATCAAATGTCGACCATCATTTAGATAATACCAGAAATAAAGATGACTTCCATTTAATGACCAAAAAGTATAACATATGCTTCAAATCTGTATTCCATCAAGGGTTGATTGAATATAATAAATTATACTCAGAGATAAAAGACTAGAGAACTTTGACAAAATTTAAAGTAAAATTGAGAAATCACTTGTTAAATCTACAATTATAGGCTGCCCAGCATTTACATCATACACCATATGGCTTGAATTTACTAGTTCTAAGTTGTTTGCAATTATTCTGTTTATGTAGCCAAATGTGCTAAATAAATCTTTCTACTACTACTACTATTATAGCAACCTTGTGTAAAAATTTCATTTAAATACGAGCAGTAATTTCCAAGTTCATAGGTGAGTCAAGGATTAGCGGACACACAGACAGACCGACAGGTGGAAATGAGTGATAAGGTTTTTCGTGATTTACATGTCATATAACATCCAAAAGACATACCTAATATCTCATTTTTGCAATTTTTCATGATATGAATACTTCCTTCGCCAGTAGGTGTGGAGTTATGTATAATTATTCATTGACAATAAAGATGATCTGGCACAGTTGATTCTTTTATTTGTTATGCTTGTAAAAGAAATACTACTTAATCAGTCACCTATAATAATACTTTCGTATTGAAATATCCAAACAATTATCCCTTAGATAGTTCATCATCATCATCATTATCAAAGCTTTGTAAAAAATGTAAGGAGAATGTAAACCTCAAGCTGCGATTCTAATGTGCGACATTCAGGTATGCACTACCTTAGTAACTACTTACTTTCACTTGTTAATAATCCAAAGCCTAACCAGCGTTGTAGAAAAGAGTATTCATCAGATTTATTCAAAATTAAGCTGGTGCTCAAAGCAAATTCTATAAAATCGTAATCTGCGGATATAAACATGCGACCTGTAGGCCCCCATAGGTAAACACTCTTCCCATATTTGTCATGAAGTCTGGTCATATCGTTCAAAGTATCTAAAAAATAAAAGATACGGCTAAGCAAGAGTTCTAAATTTACATTGATTCCTCTGCTCTGCACCTGATATCTTTTCAGATGCTTATTATTGATGAATGTTGTTGACAGCAAGTGATCTTAAGAGGATGACTGCTAAAAAGCTAAAAAGTTAACGGTTGGTTATCAGGGTCGCCCGCGGAAAGGTGCCAAGGTGGGTCGTGGCCTCCCTGAGAATATGGATGGTACTTAAAATTTGCATAAATTCAGCATGATTTTGTGTACAGGATGGCCCACTATGACTGAGAGCCCATCCATCGTAGAGGTAAACAGTTATTACTAAAGAGAAAAACCTAGAAAATATTTTGAAGTTTCTGGAATGGCCGCTAGGGGGCGTAACTGCAATCTTGAATCTAAAAAAATGTTGTTTCTGTGAATTCCGCTGTATTAAACTGACAAAAAAATACCTAATCTTTAAAGTCGAGGATAATGTGAACTTTTTTTTGACAATCTTTGCTGTATCTCTAAAAATAGAGTGCTGAGGGTTTCCGTAAAATACCCTGTATCTTCGAAACGGCTGAGCCGATTTCAACAAACTTGGGCTAGTTGAAAAGAGCTATTCTTGAGCTAATACGAATGTTATAAAGTTTGAAGTTTTGTTAGTTTGACATGTGGCTGCTAGAGAGATTTTTTCGACATTCCGACAGAAATTATTAATATTCTCAAAAAATGCATTGGAATGATTTTTTTTATGGAAAAGTAGTAAACGATGGGCGATGAAGCTCGCGAAAACCGCGTCTCAATATCTTGTTCCTAACCCAAAAATTAAGTTCAAAGAAAATTTTATACGGAAATCCCTTAAATTTTAATTTTTTTAAACTAATTTTTCTGGCATTTTTTTAGCTGGCCACCTTGTACAATGATCTTTAGAATTTGGCCTCCCCCTTAAGAAACCTACCCCCGCTAGTCAAAAAGTTTTGGGGCCAGGTACCTTTCATAGAAATGTATCTCTTGCCGATGATTGGCCCCCTCAAAAAAATTCCTGTGTGCGCCCAAGCTGGTCATGACCACAGAGACGAAAAACAAACAGATAATATGCCTCCAGTATTTTCCGACAATTTCCAAGAATAAAAAAACAATTGCGAAAAAAATGCATGTGAAATCTGAATAACGACGGAGTCTCCGTGTTGGTGTTAGTGGGTGGTAGATTATGTAGAAAAAATATAAATCAAATCTAAGTTTGTTGCAAGTCGGTTAGGGGCAAAGCTTAGCGCATACAGATCAGCTCTCGTATGTTGATAAATAATTTTGTTCTGACTCACCTGTCGTACCATGAAATTCCATTACATTTCCAAGAAATGGCACTCCAGGTATTGAGATAGCCCATTTCATCGTTTCATCTGTCTTTCTAAATTTAAATTCACTATATTGGTGTATAGCAAAAATAATCACTATTACAATAGTGATTGGAATCAATCCAATCACATATAACATGGTGTTAAGATCTATAATCTTTTTCAATAAACGATACTTAGAGATTCACAACTAGCTGAATGATTCATGATATATAAGTCGAACTTTAATAAAAATAGACATAGATATTAAATAAAAAAAATTAAATATCCATTGAAAAAGAGATAACCCCAGACTTGACTGATTGGTTTATCTACTCTAAAGTGATATATTCTTTCTACTTCAAAACACTGATTATACCATAAAAACAGACATAAAATGTTGTCTCATTCTGCATCAATTAAATTGTTGCAACAAATTAATTTTCTAGCACTAAACCGTACAAATGTCTGGTTATGGGCTTTTCCACTGAAAATGAGCTATCTTATCGCTTTTGCACATTTGACTCATGATACAGGGTTCGTCAGAAAAAACGCATGTTTTTTAAATGAGGAGTACAGTCAAAATAAGTATGGGAAAAAAATATTTTATTATATCAAAATAGCTACTCAGAAATACATGCCATTTTTTTGAGTAAAACAAAATTTCCGTTCTAAAAACTATGTCGGCCATATGGCGCCCTTGAGCCAAAATGTAGGAATCAAGCCTCTCCCGAAATGAGCCCAGTGCGTCGGCCAGCATCCGTACAAGAATTTGGGTTACTCTCTTCTTATTTCCTCCTTCAAATCGACGAGGGTCCGAGGCTTGCTTTGGTGAACTTTTGATTTCAGGTAGCCCCATAAAAAAATCACACGTTGACGTGAAATGAGACGTCTGGGAATTTTTGCCGAAGAAGTTCCATCCTGTGTGAAATGTTGCCCCGTCTTGTTGGGACCACACTGCTCTGAGATGGACACGCCGA